ACACACACACACACTCATTCACTCACTCACTACACACATACACAGACTACACACACACAGACACACACACACAGACACTCACTACACACACACACACACACACACTCATTCACTCACTCAATACACACATACACAGACTACACACACACAGACACACACACACAGACACTCACTACACACACACACACACACACACTCATTCACTCACTCAATACACACATACACAGACTACACACACACAGACACACACACACACACACACACAGACACACAGACTACACACACACAGACACTCACTACACACACACACACACACTCATTCACTCACTACACACTCATTCACTCACTACACACACACACACACACACTCATTCACTCACTCACTCACCACACACATACACAGACTACACACACACACAGACACACACACACACACACACACACACATTCACTCACTACACACACACACTTACTTGAGTACCTGCTGTGTGTAAATGTGCTCTTTTATCTGGTGTCTTTGTCAGTCTTTCTCTTTTATCAACAGCACTGGGACAATGTGTCTGAGGTCAAAGGTCAAGGGTTAAGGGTTCCACCCCTGAGTTCGGCTCTGGCTTTTTAGAGTGTGATGAATAACAGGGAGCTGCTGGATGGGGGTCAGGTCACTCATGTCCAAAACACACACACACTCATTCACTCAACACACAAACACCGCAAAAATATGGAAACTTTCTTAAAACAAAATCACTTCACTTCAAGCAAAAAAAAAAAAAAAAGACATCAGGTTCATCTGCTCTGTGAACAAAAGAAATATAAGTAAATAAATACTTTAAAATAAATATGCAAACATAATAAAAATAAATAAATGTAATAAATGTAAAACATGTAAATAAAATACATAAAAATAATAATTTTGTTGGTTATATACAAATGTTCAGGACTCTTTCCATTTCTTTTTTTTTTTAAAACATTATGGAAATGTTCTCTCAATGTTCAATGAAAAGTATAATTTAAAAAACATTAGATGAACGTTCAACTGAAATGCTTCAGAAAAACATTCCATGCGCTATGTATAAATAATGTTTTTACAGTAACATGTTGTGAACATTATTAAAGACCAGAAACTCTGAGCAAACTTTCTATTATTAACGCTCCTGGAAGAATGCTTGTTCATAACTTTGAGAGAACCTTGACAGAACGCTCCGTTAGCTGAGATATAATGTATAGTCCAAAAATACCTTTTCTAGTAATAATTCTCAGGACGGAACAAATATTTTAATTACTGAAGGATATTTGGACATGAAATGATGAACACTTCGGCAGTTTATAAAGGCCATCACTGATTTACGTGTGTGTGTGTGTGTGTGTGTGAGTGTCTGTGAGTGTGTGTGAGGGAGAGCACACTGCGCACACAACACCCGTCGTAAATGTAGAGAATTTTCTGACATGATTTTACGCACAGCACTCCTTGTTATGTGTTTGATAACATCAGTCAAAGTAGCCTTTAAGCAGGCGATACAAAGTGGTAAAATTTACAAGCACCGCCGGCAAGTCCTGGATTCTACCCCAGAACATCTACCGCCGACCTGTAACATTCCATCTACAGAGTCCACGGATTATGAACGATTGCTAACAGAAAATGAATGGATAAATTTCCAGTATTACGAAAGACAATTTAGGAAAGGCCTGGATACAAAACGAT